TATAGAAATACATTATATTACAACGCTGACGTATGTCTAAAAAAAAGGCAAAAGGAGATATATATATATATGAAGTACTATGGGGGAATAGAATCGGCGACCTATATTTATATTTATATACGGTAAAAATACGCGGACCCAGTTCCCCCCGTTTCGTATATAAATTGAACACGCGGCGAGGACGCACCCTTTACGTAGGAAGCCATCCTTTTCCTAGCATCCACAGTCCACACAGGAAATCTCAGACGCACCCACCGAAACAAGCCCGCCCTCGTCGGCCGGAGCCGATTTAATGTTTCGTTTCCTCTACGACGATAAGGGGCTACAATTTTATAGAAGCATCGTTTCATAGCAGCCCCGTACGCGCACGCAGCGTATTTTAAAAAACACAAGCGGTTGTACTTGCGAGTCAAAAACGCTATAATTAGACCTCGATTAAGGGCTACTATATCCCTCTGAACGGAAGAAAGTGTTGTGGAGGAACAAGTAGAGTAAGAAATATATTCAATGTAAAAATCATAAAAGGCTTATAAATATAACATCAACAGGTTATTTTATATATATTTCATATTCTAAAGTATATACTTCAATGTATAAAAAACATATATGTATTTTTTTATTTCAGAAAATATTTCAATGTAGAATGTTTTATATTTTTATTGTAGAAAATAAATTTTAAGAATTTTATAAAATTTTAATAAAGAATATAAATCACAAGAAAAAATTAACTATCGTAACTAAATTTTAGCTGTCCCAATTACAACCTGAAATTTAGTTATCATACCTAAATTTTAGCTGTGGTCACTAATATTTTTAGCTATAGTTTAATGGAGAGTTCTATAGCCTATAAATATTAGTTATCATAACTAAAATTTAAGTATGATTACTTAAATTTTATCTATAATATAGGGACTGCTAAAATTTAGCTATAATAACTAATTTTTTTCAATATATATTACAATATGGTATTGGAAGAATTTTGTAAAAGTTTCTTTGATCAATATTTACCACACAATAAAAATATTAATACTACAATAAGATATAAAAAATATATCTATTAATTTTACTATGTACATATTAATATTTTTATTGGTAAATATTAATCAGAGAAACTCTTATAAAATTCTCACAATATGATTTTCCGGCTAAATTCTAAGAGAAAATTGTTTCTGTGTATAGATATAGATATCGCACAATTATATCAAGATTTAAATAATTTTCAAAGAAATTTTATAGCAAAAAAAATCGGTCTTCTCTCAAATAGAAATATCTATTTTCAAATGAGAAAGTTTTCGCTCACTTTAAGAAATATTTTATCTCGCGACTAGGTCTGTGGTTTATCGCGGAAAACCTGCGGCGAGTTGGCCGCAGGGACGAGGGTGGATAATGCGCGGGCACGAGATAGTAAATTTTATAAAATAATATCGTCCCACGCGACGCTGCATATTCATTTTTCCGGAGGGACCTCTCTCCCAGGAACGGGGGAGGAAGAAGAGGTGGAGGAGGGTTGCTCGCCACTGTCCGGTTCGAGCCGCGTACATATGTATGAGCTTCTGGTGGACGCGCCGGTTACGCCTCGACGAATCCGGGGCTTTCTGCCCTTTATTTTCACCGGCAACGCGCCCTTTCCTCTCGCGAATAAACATCGGGGCCGATCCCGAAAGGAAGAAGAAAAAAAAATAGAGATAGGCAAACCGGATGATTAGCGCTCCCCGTCTTCCTTCCGAGTGCAAGCTGCATAACGATACGCGGCTTCTGATTACACGAAGAAGAAACCGAATGAATATTACCGTCTCGGTACGAAGAAATCGCGCCTCCTTTACAAATGTCACTTTAAAATCGCACGTGATTCGAAAGAAACCGCGCTGCTTAAGAAAACATAATTATATTCTCGAGGAAACTACAAGAAACTATATTTACTTTCACCCGCAATACCCGATCATATCATTTTCCCGTGCAAAGAAATGCGAAGAATTTTCTAAAATTTAAAAAAATTTAAAAACGAATTATAGACACTGATTCGTCTTTTCCAAATTCCTTGGATATACACCTGGTGATTCTCGCGTGATTATCGCGACACCCGAAGCGAAATTATTGTACGCTAACGTGACGTTCTCGTCGTTAACAACGTCGGCGAAACTGGCTCTTCCTCGACATACGTCCAAGAAAAGCAACCCGCTCGCTCGCTTGCATTAAAGAGCAATTAGCCGCGGCTCGCGAGCACGCTGATGCCCGGAAGCGATAGAAGCGGGCCGCGCGTGCCACCCTTACCTCTTCTTCTTCCTCGCGCGCGTGTATATATATATATATATGGCTTTGTACATATTCTTACACTTACCACTTGGTAACACGTCTCGCGAACTCGCCTGACTCGAAGCATTCTAAGCCGGTATAAGGACTTCCCTCTTTCTTGGTTCCACCGCCGTCGTTTTTTCCCCATCTTCGTCGGCGAGGAGTGTTCTCCATCTCTCTCGCTCTTTCTTGTTCGCAGAAAATATTCCTACACACAAACAAAATCGTTAGAGAATTTTCTACAGAGAGAAAAAATATGTTTCCGGGAAAAAGAACGTAAAATTATTTTTTAACCAACGTGTTGCGTGGTTATGGCACGACCGATGTACCTATAAATATATTTAGAATTCAAGTTCAATTCACTTGACTATATATATGTACATCGACAAATTTTAATATCGTGAAACTGTAAAAGTTGAAGGATCGAGTCGAAGATTTAAATATATCAAAGAAATATGATAATAAAGCGGAGAATTTACCTTACATGTCCTTATCCACCGCCGCATATATCTGCTTTATGCACACCCCTCCCGTGCATCTTCTCGCCACTCTTCTTCCTTCGCTCTTCTAACGCCGCTCGCTCAATTACCATTGCAGATAATCATTATCACGGAAACTGTATCGCCGTGCCTCATTGCCCCAATCCTTAATTAGCCGTTAGCCGGACGATAATTAGTACGAACCGGTGTCGGACAGCCGATACGTTGGCGAGAACGAAGTGTTGGTTGGCGGGAATGAGCAGTGTGAAGTTGTTTTCGAGCCTGTAGCGCCATCTTTCGCGCGCTGCAAAGTTCATTCAAATTCGTTTGAATTATATAATTGTTTCTCGCATAATTAACTTGTTCTAATAATCCTTATTGCTTTCTACAATACTTTTCACGCGTTGCAATCGTGCGATTATATCAATATCTTGTTTTCCTTTACAATATATCTTGTAAAAGTACATTTCAATAAAAAATCGAAGAGAGATTAAAAGATATTTTTCAAAATATTTAAAATAAATTAATAATGAAAATCTCAACTAAATTATAATTACAAATATGAAAATTATAATATAAAATTACAAAATTGTATTTATAATATATATATATATATGTATAAAATATATACATATAAAATTATATACATAAAATATATATTAATATATATATATATAATAAATATATAAAAAATATATATTAAAATACATATAAAATATAAAAAATATATTTTATACACATACACAGCTTTAAACAAAAGTATTTAAGCACCTATTCTTAATTGCAATAACAGATATATTATATATGTATATACCTTTGACAAAAGTACTTATTCTTAATTGCAATAACAATTAAAGAGTTATAAAATAAAAAATAGTTGTCAAAAGTTTATTTTAAGAAATTCAATATTGACAATTATTATTTTTTTATTGTATAACTCTTTTTATAACTCTTTAATTGTTATTGCAATTAAGAAGAATACTTTTGTCAAAGGTATATGTATGTATAAAATATACTATATATTATAAATATATAAATTATTATATGTATATAATTATATGATAAATATATAATCCGCAAATGTTGAATATACACACAGATTGCACAAAGATATGATATAGAATTATTTTAAACAAACATGTAATGAATTAGACATGCATATATATTCTTGTATTTCGCTTCAGTCCTTTCAGCTTAAAGGCAATGATGAATTGAAGATCGCAAAGTGCACGTGCGTGCGCAGTTAATTACAATTTATATTCCGTCGACTTAGAGACTTACATATATCACGTGCAGAGAGTAATTTCATTACGCAATCCTCTCGTATTGATTTTTATGACTTCGAATTAATTCTAAATGTTTACAATTAATCGTCGCAGCTTATTACATCGAAATGTGATTTCTATGATTCGCACGAGAAGCTCTATCTTCATTTACTTCTTTTATGAATATTTATGTCGCTTTTGGATGCGTTAATACTGCACTAACTCTCCTTCGTCCTTCCTTTCTTCCAACGTTTCACCTCCACTTTCCGCAGAAACTTCCAAAAGATGCCGTGCCGTAGATGATGCCTCGCGTCGTCGTATAACAATTTTGCGGGTAATCGTCTTTTCTCTTATCGTTTTTCTCTTTTTCGCCGCGAGTACAGCAATTGCAAGATCGTGGACCGCCAGCAACCGGGCTTTGTCTCGCGCCGATACCGAATCGGCGAGGGAGAAAAAACGATGGACCGCGATCTACGTCTGTCGATATGGGTTTGTGTGCGAGAGAGAGGGAGGATCCGACGATTATTGAGTGAGAGGCAGAGGTAAAGGGTCGGTAGTCTCTTCCTTTCTCTCGTCTTCTCTCCCATAAAGCGAAAACGAAGATGTATACGCGCCGCTACTCCACTTTATGCTGATCGATTTGTGGTGATTTTATATCTTCGCCTGTCTATATAGCTCTATGTAACGGCAGACCGCTTCAAACGGGCCGCGATACTTTATATCTGTGGTATAAACGCGAAATTGAGCTTTACATATTCCGGACAGAAAGGGCTTTAAGTGCTCCATGCGCGCAAGAAATTTCTTTGTGCTATACATGAAATAGTCGATTATTTCGGTCGGAATATTCTTTTGTTAGTATCAGAACAGTTAGTTATAGGATAATGTTATATTATAATGGATATCTATTCTATTGTTATTTTAATATAACATATAAATAATGTGAAAAATATATATGTGAGTGTAGTGTAATTTATAAATTTATTAGCTTATCGCATAAATATTATTACATTATTTCCACTTATACGATTACAACCCGCACTTCAGGAATATTTTTATAGATCTTTATAGATCTGTTATATTTTAGTCATATATCTAGTTTTAATCTCTAAGAAATAAATGTTATATCAAAATAATCTCTCTTCGTAATAATTAAATGTGAGTAAACTAAAAATTGCATATTTTTAAGGCTTATACTATGCGTTGCACATATACATTCTCCCATAAATCCCTTCTAAAAACAATCTTTTGTATTTATATAACTATTATAAGAGATCAAGACACGTGCAAGTGTCTCTTACCATCAGATTATTCAAAGCGCATGTATCAAGAAATCATAAATAATAAAATATATATAAAAAGCTACCTCAAATAGGATATTTGGACTCGAAGGAATCTTCTGGGTTCGTAGAAATGTCCTCTGCTGTGAGAGCAAGTATCTCTTCACAGACACGTTTGTAGACCCACGCGTCACCCTTTAGTCTTTTTCGACGAATGCCAACTAACCGTTTTCCATTTGGACCAATCTCCAAGAGGCAAACTTCAAGCTCGAAGGAACAGGTATTTAGCGAGGAAATTGACTTGGACAAATCTTTCTTATTTTCTGAAAAGAACTCTTCAGTCTCCCCTTGCAGAATAAATCTACAACATATAATCTTTGATAATGCAACTGCAAAGAAAATAAAATATTAAATGTTTAAAAATATTTCTAATTACCCTTTCTGACGGCACATTACACCCTTTCGTCGAAGAGCACATCTCAATTTCGAGAGGACATATTTTGGACAACCGCTGCACGTCGCAGACACATTAGATAATCCCTTTGAAAACAAAAGAACATTTACTATCATTTAAAATTAAGCGATTTTTTGACAATATTTTTATATTGTCTTATGATTGTGACTATTAACTATATACCTTTCCTGAGAGTATATTCGGTTCCTCGGGATCTATATTTTCATTTTTCACTCGTTTCTTTGGTGTGAGAACATATCTCACACGATTCAATCCTCGTTCTAATCCCATTATAACTTTTCTTGCACTGCCTGGTGTAGATGCTTGTGAAATTCTAAAAATATTTATAATATCTTTAAATATGATATATCTATTATATATTATTTTTGTATATATTAATTCACAAGTTTTTTTACCTAGAATCTGGTGTTACACATTGCGTAGGAGTAGTAACTAATCTATTGTCAGGCGGTTTTTTTGCTGGAGCTGTAAAAATTATAAAATTTCAACATCATAAGCATATATATATATCAATATTATATTATTTAAATTTTATATTATTAACAAAAAATATACGTAGGTACATATAAAATACTACGCATACAAGTTTAATATATTTTCAAATAGTAAAGATTCAAATGTGGTAGTGCTTGAGGGATGGTGCAGTTTCTAAGGAGTTTTCGAGAAGAAATATACTAGTATTCTTAAGTTAAAATTGCGTTTATTAGCAAGTCGTTCCTCTTTTCGAGGTAATTATCTACTATTCGCACGACTGCTGTAATTTATGATGGTCAGAAACTTTCATTAAAGTTCTAATTAGGTGGTGCTAGCATCATCCAATTAGAAGTAAACTTTAGAAAATGTACTACGAGACTAATTGCGGCTGCAACACGTTCGATAAACGTTTGTTGTATGCAAAATGTATGTACTTTAAATAAAGTAGAAAATTGACCTTAGAAAAATTTCTGTCAAGATTAAACAAGATAAGTTTATTAAAAATTTGAACCTATTTGTTGATAAAAAAGATATAATACTAAACATTAAGATATTGCAATGATGGTGAAATACTTACTAGGCGATGATATGTCATCAGGTTCTCTGCTTCGTAATCTTTTTCGTGTTGGTATACATGGTTCTGTAAAGTTATCTTCATCATTTCTTTTAGGCAAAACATTGTAAGTAACATCGATCACTGGAGATTGCTTTTTGTTTATTCTGCTTCTTGGAGAATGATCGAGTTTTGTTATAAAATTGTTAATCACTACTTCATGTTGTGGAACATGAGTGCCATTCTATATAAGAAGAAAATATATATTAATTTCATGTATCAATTTCATATCAAAGAAAAATATTTGACATACCGTTTCCTGCTTAAGATGAGATTTTGTTACAGATGCTATTTTTAGCGAAAGTCCACGTAATTTTCTATCAAGCAATAACAGATACGTAGCTGTTCTATAATCAGTCCTATCACTTTGCATAAGTTTCTTCCATATATCTTCATTATTTTCACCACAAATAGCAGACATAGTGTTCAATACTTCATCATCTTTTTCAAACTATATTTAAATAAAGATAAATTTAATATATTTATTTATAAAATAAAATTATTTATTGTAAAAAGTTCTTACTTTTGTTTTGTGAATGAATGTTATAGGCTTCAGAGAATTTGATGTAACCCATGGATGACGACATAATTCTTGAATAGTAATTCTTTTTATTGGATCAATTTGTAGCATTGACTTGATTAATGTTTTAGTATCATTAGAAAGCCAGTAGGGTTCCTCATATTTGCCACTCTGAAATAATTTAGTTTAACTTTTGCAAATAATGCACAAATAATAATACACAAATATGAATACACAAATAATTGATAAACTTACAAGTATCTTTTTGTATAAATTTTCTAAATTGTTATCATCAAATGGCAAAAATCCACATAGTAAAGCATAAAGAAGAACTCCCATGCTCCAAATGTCTATTTCTGAACCTGTACAAAAAGTTTGGTACATTAAGCATTAAATTACAATGAAAAATTTGATGTTAGAACACTTTAAAAGTTTATATACCTAAATATTTCTTCCCCATTATGAGTTCTGGTGCTGCATAGGTGGGAGACCCACAAGAAGTATATAAATGCGCTTGCATCCCCATTTTAGGTTTGGCACATAGTCCAAAGTCAATTAACTTTAAGTTCTCTTCTTTATCCAATAAAACATTTTCCTGTATAAAAAGAATAATTCAATTCAAATATAACAATTATTGTGAAACAGAAAATATGCTTACAGGCTTTAAATCTCTATGAGCGTATCCCAAATTGTGCATATATGCAACAGCAGAAACTATCTGGCAAAAGAACTTTCGAGAATCAGCTTCCGATAATTTATTTTTCTCAACTGCAACATAAAGATGTAATTTCATTAAGACTTGTGCCTTGAGAGGATAAAAACATTCTCCATATTATATTTAAAAAAATTACCTATATGATCAAAAAGCTCTCCACCGGAACAATATTCTAATACCATGAAATAATGACTCTCTGTCTCTATTACTTGATACAATCTACAGATATGTTGATGCAACAGCGTTTTGAGTGCCTCCACTTCAAGCTTCACTCTTGGTAAATCTTCCTGAAATAAATATTGTGGGATGAAATCATATTTTAATAAACAAAACAGATAAAAAATTCTATAAAGATATTTGACACGTATAGAGCTTGTTTTCTATTCCTGCAAATAAATATTGAAATAAATATTGTGGCGTGAGATTACATTTCAATAAAAAAAAAAGAGATGAAGAATTCTATAAAGATATTTGACACATATAAGGTTTCTATTCCTGCACTGGCTGAACTGTGCACACAGGTGCAATAAGTTAGAGTGAGACAGAATATACTCGTCTCACTTATTGCATTAGTTCAGTGCAAAAATAGAAAACAAGTCATACAGGCAAAGAAGGAAATTGCAATAAAATTAAAAGTGTACTTTCGCTGAGATGAAAATAATTTTGCACAATATAATCCCTAACACTTACGCCCAATGTCGTCTTTTCCATAATCTTGATGGCAACCTTCTCACCGGTTGCGACATGAGTCGCCAACTTGACTTTGGCGAAGCCGCCGCTGCCGATCGTCTTCTCCAGATCGTACAATCCTTTAAGGGCGGCGTATCGCACCATCGTGATGTCCGGGTACGCGAAATACGGATCATAAATGTGGAAAATATACCCAGCTCTCGCCTCTCGACACAGTAACCGACCGCATACATCAACTATTTTGAATTGCGGTAAACAACTTCTCTCAGCCAATAGCGATCCAGCTTGTCAGTGATGCAACGTAAGAACGCAGTACCGCCAAATGTCAAATAACCGTGTCTTCTTCAGGATCGTCAAAACGGTTTTCTCCTTTACCGACTGTAAATTAATATTGCAAAATATTGTAACAATATTTTTTTTATTGAGCATATATATACAATATATAGTATAGTAATAGAATAATTAATCTAGAGTAAACTAGCTTAAAATAAATAAAATAAAATAAAATATGAACGTGCAATAATGAAGGAATTTACTTTGCGATCAACGTCATCTCTTGAAATATGCACGCAACGCGATGTCATTTTATTACGTACCAAGTAGAAAAATGGCAGAGATCTGACGTATACTTAAATCACCGATGCGCAAAATAATTTTGCAATGTCTCCGAAATGATTGCTTCATTCGGAGATACTGCAAATGATGATGGCACAACTTCTTCGAGTGTGCAAACTGGAAGTCTCTTGTGTAGTTAGAAGTTATGGAACTTATAGGTTAGTTGCTCTCATTTTGTTGTTGTTTACTTGCAGTAAACCTGTTCTTTCTAGTAGCATTTTTTTAATACTTTCTTTTTTTTTATATTCTGTAATGCATGATAAAAATATATATTTACCTTACTTTCAAGTATTGAAAGAGTAATATACAGATAGACACTGTTAGAAAGAGCAAACCTGATACTTTCAATGTAGTATGCAATTTCTTTTAAAGATACCAACAAGATCATTATGAAACCTTAAATGTTTCACCCAATGCATCGCAGAAAGAAATCAGACGAGCTTTCATCAAATTGTCGAAACAAGTATGTTATAAATAGTATAGATAAATTACTTTTAATTGAGTTAAATATAAAATTTCCTCAGCTTGTCTGATATAATAAATCCAAATATAGTTTGTTCTTTATTGCTGCATTGATAAACTAGTGTATACTGGTAAGTTAGAATAAAACAATATATTTGTCTCACTTTAACTCATTGCACTAGTTCAGCAATAAAGCTAATAAGTTCAGCAGTGCAGCAATAAAGAACAAATCCATAATGTGCTTTCTTTCTATTCTAACTATTCTGTGATATGAAGTCATATAAATTGTTTGCTAGCTGCATCCTGACATAAGTGGAAAACACAGTCATGCTGATTTTGTGAAGTTGAATGAAGCTTACTCAATTTTGGGAAGAGAAAATACCAGACGCCAATACGATTTAGACTTGAGATATACTAGATACAATCCATCCTATACATATAACTCACAAAACAGGTAAAATGTATATATTTTTCAAAATTGAATGACTTTAATATATTTTTTTCAAACTTAAACTTACATATTTTATATATTTGGAGTATGAATACATGCATATGTATATATAATGTACTAATAATTTATAATATAATAAAAATGATAAATCAATCATCAAACATTTATCAATCAATGAATATTATAACGCTTATTTATTAATAATTAATAATAATTAATAATTAATGATTTGTACAGCAAAGATTACTCTAATTGGTCAATTAAACGCTTTCAACATTAGTCAAGTCAATCGCAATTTATCTCATATATTTATATATACATATACATATACATTGAATATAAATTGCAAATATTATATATAACAATTTTATTATGGACACGAATATTATTACGATGACACGAATCGTGAAAAGTTTGGAGTAATCTTTACGATAGTTAAAATGGTAACAAGACATTGTACGATAAATAAATGCTATGCGTAAAAATAGAATTTTCGTATTTTCGCGCGCGTGATACGTCATGATAGCCATGTTTGATTTTACGAACGTGGAATCTTGGAATCGGACTACAGTTGGTCGGAATGCGGAATCGGAACGTGAGCTTCTTGTGAGCAGTTTATATTTTTTATTGCTCGCAGTTATTTATCGGGATTCTTATGTCGCGAATCGTGATCAAACATCGTGATATTGAAAAAACTAATTGGTTAATCGTTGTGATTGAGCTGCAATTGTTACAATCATAATTATATTGTGCATACGACGATTATCACAAAATTATGATTGTAAGAATCTTGCCTCGTCACATCTGACAATAATAAGTTATAATTTTACGTAGAGAGAATAAATAATCTTTTATATAAGATTAAAAACGTATAATACCGGGAGTGGCGAAGAAAATATTGGGCGATTATTTGTATTTGTATACAATGATACAGTTTTATCGCGTCGGTGATACGAACGTGCGACAGTTTTGTCAAGTAAATTCCGCGCGACTGTAGTTCGAATTATTAGTATTGTGTTAATTATATTAAATATAATAAAATTATTGAAAAGATTTCTCTCACCTACAAGTGTAGTATCAGAAATGTCGAAAAAAGTGTCGGGCAAGAATCGTATTATGCGTTAATATAGTATATCGCGTTGATAGTGTGAAACATATGATAGTTTCGTCAAGTAAACTCCGTGCGATTGTAAGTCCAAATATTAAATGAATATTTATTTTAAGGGCAAAGAAATTTTGTCCTTTTTTTATATTATTATATTGTTTATTGTTTATTGACTATAAAATTTATTGTTTATTGATTATAAAATACAAATTATACTTTCTACTTTAAAATTTGTGGCAAAGTTAGATATGTATAATAACACTCACATTTTCTGTTTTAAAACATAGATATATAAATTTCAAATAAATTGATTAAGTGGCTACTATATATATTGGATATTTATTAAATATTGAATATATTAAAAGGGCCAATATTAATTAATTATGCAATATAGAATATTGTTATTTTTTTTATTGCTTTTGCATCACCGATCTCCTATTTTAATTAAAAACCAGTAAAAATTAAAAATTGTCAAAACTTAATATATTTGTACTTAAGTATATTGTTTTAAAAAATATTTGAAATAAATCATAATTCACTAATTATTTTCAGTGATTATTATAATGTTAAAATAGAATATAAATATATATTTTAAATAATATTTTTCCAAAAAGAATACCAAGAAATTTATTTGTACAGTTGATTTTACAATTATAATTATTTGTAGGTATAAAAATTATAATATGACTGAAAAATGAAATGTATTATTGCAGACAATATGGAAGTCAATGGGAATATGAGGTACGTTCAGCGGGAGGACCATGGCCACCGCCTCAACAAAAGCCAGATGCATCCTTTGGTCGTCTAATGGCTTTTCTTTTCCTTGGGTTAGGGTTGGTACAAGTTTATTTTATGTTTTATTCTATCAGAATGAGAAGGATTGTGATTTTTCGAAGTGATAAATTAGAAAATGAATATCAACAAACTAGGTACGTCGCGCATAAAAAATCCAATGATAATCAATATATCGTAGAGAATATTAACTCTGCAGAGGATCTTAATGAGTACCTAGGTAAAAGCAATAGTTAATTTTAGCATAAATTATATCAAAAACTGAATTAAAAGTGTCAGTTATTATGCATTAGTATTATTTCTGCACACACTCTTTCTCAACATCCTTTTCTTTCCTATTAAAAAGAAATATAAACATAAATTTCTATTGATGTGACTTTGGAAAAAGGATAAAACTAGTTTTTTTTGTCAGACTTGTTTACTCCAAAAAATAATTGAAAGTGTCATATAATATATTAAATATATAGAATATTGCTTTCAATCTATTAATCTATTATGTTTGAAACAATTCTTATAAAATTTTATTTTTTTACTTATGATTGCATTTTTAATGATATGAAGGAAAGATGAAACACAAAACAAATATTTATTATGTCTAATCTTATATATCTTAAATATTTTCTTATGAAACTGAACCTTTTTTTCTTATCGATTCCAAAGACCAATTTTTTAATTCTAATGTCAACTTTTAACATATTTTTTTTTGCTCTTCACAATTTCTTTATATAACTAACGACTGCTGTGTGAGGCAAGGCAGGTGAAAAGATTGGCTTTCCTTCCTCGTCCACATAGTCGTTATACTTGAGTTTGTATATCGCTTCGAAGCCAATTCGCGCGCAAAGTTTACCGGAGAAAAAAGACGAGCAATCCGCCCTAGCGTAATGAAATCCTTCCTCCTTCGCAATTTCTCTATAAAGATAGATAAATATATTTATCGCTTATTTGAACGCATCGTCCATATTGAGCTTAAAATCTTTTATTAAGACAATACTCACATCGTTTTTTCTATGAGAACCTTTCCAACGCCTTTTCCTCTCCAATTTGTATCTACTGAAATTATTTTGACCTCCAAAACATTTAAATCTCGAAATCGTCCATCCACGTTCACATTTTTGTCTATATAATACAATAATCTCAGTATCTTCTTAAATTTTGCGTTTTTGCACGATTCTATGTCTTCTGGCTCTTCGGCCGATGGAGGATCTGCTTTACCTGTAATAAAAAAATAAGATAAATTCTTTATATAGCTATATATAATGTAAATAATTTATATGTTAAATACATATATTCGCGATAATGCAACATATGTAGATTAATATACAGAACTACTGTGGTCATTTAGTAGACATTAATACGCGGTTATTAAGTTAAAATGATTAATTAAAGGTTCCTTTTTTTCCGTGATGTAAATTATTTATAATCATAAGCTATTATTTGTGTTTCAATATAATATGTTTTTTTAGTTCTGCTTGGATTCCAATGATACATACGAGATTTTAAAAATAAAGTCGTAAAATCATTTTAATAGATAGAGTCCCGCATATGTATAGCATGTACTGTACAACCACGCAAGGCATTTGTATATTGCTTTAACGACGGCTATTAATGACTGGACAAGCTATGAATTAAATTAACTGCATAATTGACAAAGCAGGACAAACAGTATACTTGATATACCGTTTAAAAATCCAAGAGAGAGAGAGAGAGAGAGAGAGAGAGAGAAAGAGAGAGAATATTATACTTCCATGTAGCATGATTTATCTCTTTCTCAATTTAAAAAATAATAATTTATTTTTTATAATATAAATAATTTTTAACTAATATTTTAATATAATATTTAATAAAGTATATTTTAATATATAATAACTTATTTTTTTGTGTGAACCAAAAATTTAGTTCAAGATGTGAAATATTTCGATTTTTTTATTGAAGAAAGAAAAATCGATTTTAAATTATTTAAATATATATATATATATATATATATATATATATATATGTATATATCTTTTTAATAGTAAGGTTTAATAAAATATTTCCTTTCTCTCTTGTGAGAATGCATTATGTAAGTATATAATACTTGCTATTATTATAAAACTTTGAAATAAAATTACTCCTCATATTAAGAGATTAAATGAATGATGTAGAATAAGATTTAGTTAGTATTTTCCTTAAACGTAAAACGTAATATATTACATAAATGTTTTATTATTAACTTTCTGTTTTATATTTTTCATTTGGAACCATGATATCTGTTTAATCTTTTAACATAGAGATATATAATATTTTCATTTATAATATTTCAAAAAATTTATTTTAGTTTGAAAAAAATGTAAATTTTAATTAAAAAATATTCGTTTTAATCTATCTTTCGTTCCGTTATAATTTAAGCCATTATCTGTATTATTATTTATCTCTACATCAGTTAATTATTTAAATTATTAGTATTTCGCGATCATTAGCATGAGAGAGAAAGAGAGACTCGCATATATGCAATCCAATTGTAATTTTGGAATATTGTGTAGACTTGTTTGCGTGTCTTACATGCATTTAAATGTAAATATCAGCAAGTAAATCTATGATGTAATTATTTTTTTTAAATTACAACCGGTATAATTAATAACTTACGAGATTCGTAACACTTTATGTAACACCGAATAGTATACCATTGGACTTTTTCAGTTTCTTTCCTCTACATTATTTCCATATACGGATAGATCTCAAATTAAATGGTAATTTTTGCATCTATTTAACCGAGACATGCGTATTATAAAGGAAGATGAAAATAAACATTCAACTTCAATATATTAACAGATATACATATATTGATTCTTTTTTGATCAGATATAGCACATTAAACTAACAAGATATTTAATATAATATTATAGATGATTATGAAATATTTTCAATCACATATTAATTATATCAGCCAGATCAAAACAAGAAGTTTAATGAATAAATACTAATTATTCAATCTTTTGTGGGATAATTAAAAAAATTATTTGTCTTCGCTAACATTTATTTCTAAAAATAATATGCATAATGAACATATTTTGTATTGAAATTTATTGCAAGTATTTAATTATGTGCCATCTTTTCATCTTAAGATTTAAAGAGAAGATGTGTCTATAAATAAATAAGTTTTGTAAAGCATTTATCATACGAGATTAAACATTTATTTTTCTTTTTCTATTATAAATGATACACTCGTATCTCGTTTGAGCAGAAAATTATCATTTAATTTGTTTATCGCGTATAAAACGAATAAATATGTAAGGAAAGAAAAACTTGAAAAATTCAAAATTGCTGTTGTGATCTTACCATTGAGCACTACACCGATAATTGTACCATTCGCAGTAACCGCCATTAGGCTCAAGTTATTTTCGAACGATGAATGGCTGCAATAATCCTCCAGTTCTGTACAAGTACTATCCTCGCCCTCTGGGATCAGTTGAATACTGTGATTGAGTGGTTCATCTCTGAAGAAGAACCTTCTTAGGAATTTTAGCACTTTTAATTTGTTATCCTTGGTAATTTTCTCGACGTGATAGTCCATACCACTGTCCAATCCGTCAGCCGAATCGGCCAACTAAAATAAGAATGTTGCAAAATTAAGGAGTTGAAATTTTTGAAGAAATTTATTTAATATTATATACAGGAGAAGTTTATGAGACATATTTTTTCTTTTTATAATTACATATATTGGATATATTTAGAAATTATAAAAGAATTCTAAATTGATTGATATTTTATGAAATTAACAAATTCTCAGCATCGAATTCATTAGTCATTTGATAATGCAGATTAAAATTATTTTAATTATAGCTATCTGTATTTGATAGGATTATTGAGTTGATGGAGATTGTAAAGTACGTGATTTTGACATTTATGGAATATTTAGCATAATTTAAAAAACTATAGCATAGTTCTCAGATCGAAAATTCGATGGAGTCCTTCATAAATGAGAGTGTTCTTTAACTTGTTACGCTGAATATTAGCGTTGATGCGCGTATGACACTCCCATTCTATTCAACGCCGTTTTATCACATTTTATGACGTTAATCGGTCATTGAGCGGTCAACGTCACCCAGTGCTAACTCGTCATTGATCTACTTCCAGGCAGTGATTTATAAGAATCGATAAGATCGCTCTTGCATGTGTGACGTGCGTTTCGGCACGGACTTCGCGAATGACAGAGAGATCTAAACAAAAAAACATCTAAAGCAAGACTGTAAAGAGCATGATTTGTAGCAGGATTTCTATTTTTAGACACCTTTTAGAATTTAGAATTATGAGCTTTGTCTTCTAGGTGTTTGTTGCAACACGTTGTTTAAGATATAAATGCGAAACGTGTAAAACTCCTTTGCCTTGAATGTTATGCTGTTATTATTCGTGTAGCTCGAAATGTCCTTCCATCGGCAAATCATTTTGAAGATAATTATTAAGTAATGTGCTGATAATATTTGTCGCAATTAAGGTAACCGGTACCTGAGCATTACGCGTCGTTGCGTCTTTATAAGGATGCATTGTCTTTGTCATCATTTGAGTTACATCACGCCAAGGGTAGCGGATCCTTACTTGCACTAAGTTATATCTTACGTTCAACTTCTTTCAACGTAATTAATAATCTGCATAATAATCTCTTATTTCCGACAATTACCGTGGGAAAGTGATTAGATCATCGCGCTGGACATTTTCTCATGGATCACGAAGAACGAAAAAATGTGAACCATATTCCTCCTTTCTCTCTCTTTCTTTCTACATAAAAATTAATAAAACCGCAAATGTGTAATACATAATATAAATAATGAAAGATTATGACAGCTGCGAGTCGAAATTATACTGCTGAAGCATCACGATTTTGCGAAAAAGTAATATTCATCCAACTCTTCAATTCAATTAAAATATACAATTTTCTATACTTATGACTTCGTTAATTTTCTATACTATGACATTAAAAATAAAAGCTCTCTAAAACTATATTAAATCTAAAAAACATCTCGCGATATATTTAAATTAAATTATTATGTCTTAAACTTCAGACATTTAAAAAATTATAATGCGATGTGCAATTCGCATCGATGTCAAATTTAAAAAAAAATTTTTTAAAGCAATATGCAATTGTTTTCTGAATTTTTTATCGAATTGATCCTGATTCTAACTTCTTACCGAATATTTCGTAATCTTCGGTGCTTCTTTCACGAAAGTAGTAGTGGTAGTCTTGTCGCTGTCGATACGCATCACATCGACCAGATTTGCACGTAATTTCTCCATGATGAATGATTTTAAAATTCGCGAACTTTATTGCACTTCTTCGTTCGGTAATAAGGATATCGAAATAACTGTCAGAAACTTTTCGATCGCGAGATCGTCGTTATAAATTGCGTGTAACAATTGCTTCTGGGGAAGCAACTCCTAAGCGCTTAGAGTACGATTCTGTCAGTTGCTGTCGTCGAATGCAGTGGTCATCTAACATTGAGATAGCACTCCGTCTATCTTATATACACTCCGCAATAGCGGCAGAAGGCGTTCTGACAGGTTCAGGGACAGACATATATAGTTTAGGATACTTAGGATTAGTAACGCCTCCGTTCACATTTTAATATCGAAGTATATCTCTCGATCGTGACTATCATCATATAATTATGCTAAAGCTTTGTATAATTTTGCTAGCATTTATTTCATGATAAGCTATGTAAATCCTATGTTTTTATCACTTTTTCATTATAGAGTAAGTAACATTGATTCGAAATGTAAGATTGGATAAAAATTTCCGAGATATATTGAGACAAAATTTTATCATTTTCTGAAATATAAACACAATATTTTCTGAAATAAACATAAACGCATTTCATATTTTACATATGTTTAATGTGTGGTCTACTTAATTCGCATTTATATTATTAGGACAAGTAAAATTTAATATTAAATATTTTTATAGCTAGAATAGATTGGCAGATTGTTTAGTGCGTGTTTCTACATTGCATGCAGATAGATAATAGTCCGTAGGACTACATGATTTTGGGTCGGTTTGTTATTTAGAATTTATAGAGAAATATATCATCGCGTGTTGTATACGAAATCGGAGAATAACTTCCGTTTGACATTGATGTTTGACGTAACACGGTCGTGCATATTGTAAGAAATAATGAACGTTAATTGGTACATCCGTAGTTTTAACACTCAAACGTGCTTGTTCTATTATATACATTAGACATTATTTAACTTTAAAAAGTGATTAAATTAATGGAACGTTAATATTTATCTTGCACTTGTATGCACGTGTACGTTTCTTGAAGAACGAGACGAAAAGTATTGCAAATAAATTCGTCCAATTGGAGAGCCCGACTTGCAGACATGTTCTTGCGCTTAATGAGTAAATAAAAACATGTAAAATTAGTATCGCTTTATTATTCGATCCGCAATTTTAAATTAACATGCGATTGCTACCGTAATAAAAATCTTTACCTAGTTATTGTAATTTGCATTGTGTATGGAAATCAAAAACTGGTTTATCATAGATATAACAAAAAGCTTATCTATATATCTTACTATTTTTATGACATTTTGCATTAATATCGTTTACGTCACGGAAAAAACCGATTACTGAAAAAAATTAGCTATCATATTTTGACATTCTTTTCAAAACTTGTTTCAATTGTCTACTTTTATAAAGCATAAATATACATTGAGATTATTTTGAATCTAATCTAAAATGATCTTTGCATAATAAGTGAAAACATAACGGAAATATACTTAAGCATTCATTTTGCATGTGCATTTTTTAATATACGATAATTACCCCACTTAAAAAATCGATGGTACTTAACAGTTTCGTACACGGACAAAATTTTCTCTTAGAATTTACTCTGAAAATCATGGTAATCGTGGGACAATACACACAGTATTGAAAGAATTTTATAAGAGTCTCTGATTTACGACAATAAAAGTATGTACATAATAGAATTAATCGAACCTATTTTACATTTTATTGTGATAGATATTAATTTTTTTATTATGATAAATATTAATCAGAAAAACTCATAAAATTCTTCTAATACCATATTATCACACCACAATTACCATGATTTTCAGAGTAAATTTTAAAAGAAAATTCTCCTTGTGTATAGATACAAAGTGTCAACGAAAACAAATACCTTTCACCTCTTTCTAGTCAGCTGATGTAAGTTCATTAACTAAAAAGTTAATGAACTATGTGCAGCGATAGAAGTTTTTTTTTTATTACAATATTCCCATTTTCTTTTTGTGTCAAATGTAAATTTATTTGAGAGAGATAAATTAAAGAGCTATGAGATATTAAAAATTGATTTTTTTTATTAATGGCCTTTTATGGTTGATCAAGCAAGAGTAACAATTGGTTTATTTTGAAAACAGAATCCTACAGTATATCACTGTATTATCTCTACTTAAGCGTTTGCATTTATGCGTGCTTACGTTTGTCGCATCAGTCTAATATCTGTGCATCTGCCTAGTAAACAGTTTAATTCTTGCATGCAATCTGATGTCAATATTAGCCCGCAAAATAATTTCAAGGAGATTCGACAGACTTAAATGCTTTAGAAAATAGACATTTTTGTAGATTGGTTCTCGAGTTACCATAACATCCTGATGATTTAAACTACTAAAGTTAAATTGACTTTTCGACTCAATTAATTTAATTAATAGATACAATATGTGTGATAGTCATTTTGACATATTGCTCTAGTAAAACTTTTTATTTAACAATTTTAAAAATAAATTAAGAAATTTACAAAAATAAATTGAGAATTATTAAAGTAATTAATTCATTATATATGCTACATCTCACGATTATTTAGTTCATTTTGAAGCGGTCGTGAATCAAGTTTCACGAAGGATTGTATTACATAGCCACGTCGAAAGCAACTTGTTTGTCAACATGTGTGCAAAGACGTGTTTAACATAATTTTAATTTTAAAATAAAAATATAGTGACTTGTAAATTTCGGTTTATCGGGAAAAAAATTACAATTTCCAAATTTTAATTTTTTCTTTAATAGTATAAGTCAATTTTTATTTTTGAAACCCAAATTAATTAATATTTTTTTTCTAATACACAAGATATTAAATATGAGTAATAATAGAACTAGAAAGACTAGAATTTATATTGGTATACTTTAATATTTTCTCTCTATCTCTCTCTGTACGATATAGGGGATATGCAAACGCATAGATAAAAGATACTGAATTTAACACATAAGTTTCGTTAAACTGACACATCATTTCCTAGTAATTAAGTGTTGCAATTTATCAGAACTGATATAAACTAATATTAATTTTATCTATTTACAATGTAGTCATCAAAAACCTGGATTTCATTATTTATTTATATGTTAAATCGTATTTAAAAGTTTGAAAATCTTTATCCTTCTAAATCCATTTTTATTCTGATCTTTTTCATGATTATTATTACATTTTAATTGTTTTCAGCATTAATTTTTCAAATTTTCATTTTTCTTTTGATAAAGATTATTTGCTCAAGCAGCTTGAAAAATAATATCAAAAGCTATAACATAATTCGATAAGAAACTCTAATAAATAAATAAATTTTTAGATATAAATTCAAATTTAGATATAACTTTGAATTTTTTAGCTAAGATGAACAAAAATGTTACGTGATGTGTTGATACAACTTCTCTATTTTTATCGTATAAATGAAGGGGTGTGTCTGATCGTGTATCTGAAAACGTTACTTTTTTGCTGAAGCGTCATCCGCGTAATGAACGGCATATGCATTCGATAGACGCAATAGCAAAAACCTATTGACCGTTCGCTCAAGGCCGCAATATCACGCCTATAATAGTGTCTCTAAAACCGATTTATCAAAACGTATAATACGTTACGATTGCGACTGTTTTCCGTGGAAGAAGGTGCTCCGATAAATCGCAGGTGCGCTGTAGAATCAAGATGTTAAAACTGACCTTCTCAATCTTTGGTTGTGGTCCGATTAAGGTCAAAATCAATTATTTGGAGGAATGTGTACTTGCGGTTATTTTTATCGAACTGATTTAATTTAATTGAACGGATTGAATGATGATTTCCACGATTAAATCTTTATGAAAAAATATTTATCGTTCTTTTTATAACTAATATTTTCGTATAATTTCATATTTTTCAACTGTAGCAAACATCTATTACTGCCAATTTTTTATTATCTGTCTATTTGACATGTTTTTCTCTATATAATTTAATTTTATAAGTAATTTATTATAAATTTAACAAAAATAATGTTTGTAAATGATGAATGATTGAATAAAGCTTCAGTCTGAATATCGGGATACTTGATATGGCTGATAGATATACAATATCATCGAAGCGATCTTGTTTCGTGTCATTCTACCATCAAATTAAAAACACTCGACTAACAATAAGAGAGAATAATATTAAAAAATTATAATATTACATATATATATAAAAATATAGTAATAAAAATTATAATAGTTTATTAACATTATAGGTTCGCGTTAGTTGTATGAAATTATCTATAACAATAAAAAAATAAAAATTTGCACTAATCCATGCAAGAGAAATATAAAGCGATTGGTACATTTAAAGTATATATGCAATTTACCCTTGCACTTCAAGGACAATTGTTCTAATAAATCTTCTAAAGGTCCCGTTTCTCGTACAAAATTTTACCGTTCACTTGCTATCCCCTCCTCATTCGTCGAACGCGAAAACTATATAATTAGAATATTGGGATTCCGGTTACCGTATCCGGTTCGAAAGAAACAGAAAGAATGCTCAAGAGAGACTCCTATATTTCATTGTCGATCGTTTATCGATAATTTCGCTTATCAAATGTTGTGATCAAAGGACGCGACCATCGGGATGCTTCGCAATTCTTAGCCGCACCTTCGCGCGACTTAGTCACTGTTTCTGGACGATATTGGCTTGTAATACTGACATATCTTATTCTAGGGACACTATTCTATACATAGCTATCGATAGCTCGTGTCGTTACGCATGTTTTTTGATATGTCAAAATACGTACGCAACAAGATCGAACAGTTATCGGTAGCCGAACAGAATAGCATCTCACAATACTCAGGTACTACAGTTGTAGTCATCAGTTAGACTTTTAATTGACTTTCTAGGGATAAGCGGGAGTGACCAGTTGTTATTTTTAGCATATCCCATTTTACAGCACGTCTCGTTATATGATACAATCATGAAAAAAAATTAGCTACTATAGCTAAATTTTAGTTATAGAATTCTCCGTTAAATTATAGCTAAAAGATAGTTACCATAGCTAAAGTTTAGGCACGATAACTTTTATAAAAATTAATAGCGTTAATGCCTGAAGCCGTTTACATGCAATAAGTATAATTGCGATCGTGATTAAGCGAAAATTTGTCGAAACAATTAGCGGATGCAGATAATGCATTTATTAATCGCGTATCGCACGAGATCTGCACACGCGTGTGCATTGCATCACAAAAACAGAGTAAAGTACACACTTGACTGCATCTGCGAAAAGCCTCGTTCCGCTTCTGTTGCTCTCTGCTCTGATCTGATCCGCGTGTTATTGAGCGCGCAGATGCCGGATGCTATGATCCCGATCGCCCGGGATGGATGTATAAGTGATCGCGAATTTCATGCGTTGCCGAAAACGCGCGCTGCAAATCAAACTCGTCGGAGAAAATCGCGACTCGCACACGACCCGCAAC